CGAGTTCATCGGTCTACCTCTGGATGAGCAGTTTACCTTCACTCTTGGAAAGAAGGGCGAGGAAGCGAAGCTAGTAACAGAGTTTTTCAACCTCGAAGAACCCAATTTGGAGAAGTGGAACTTCACATGGTACGAAGACCTCTTCGCACGCGACGCGGCAATGAAAACCCTCGTCAACGTTGCCTCTAAAGCCTACCGCCGCATCGCTCTTTACGAACCTGGCGAGTACACTGCTACCCTCAACTATAACAATGGAAGCAAGACGGAAGCTACTTGGCTCGTTCGCGACCTGGCTGAGGAGCGCAAGGCCAAGAACATTATTCTCTTCATCGGTGACGGAATGACCACAAACATGATCACAGCTGCTCGTTTGATCGGCCATAAGCAGGTCAACGGCAAATACCAATCTCTCATGGCCATGGACAAATTCCCTGTCGTTGGCCACCAGATGACCCACTCGATCGACAGCTTCATCACCGACTCCGCTAACTCTGCTGCTGCGCTCAACACTGGTCACAAGTCAACAGTCAACTGTTTGAACGTTTATGCGGTACGTGTCTTCCATCTCGTTGCGCAATTGTATTTATCATCATTTTACTAACAAATAGTATAGGACAGTAGCAAGGATCCTTTTGACGACCCGAAGGTTGAGAGCATTGCTGAGATCTTTCATCGTCTTACCGGAGGTCACGTAGGAATAGTATCGACAGCATACATTGCGGATGCTACCCCCGCTGCCTTGGTATCGCACACCCGTCTCCGTAGCGAGTATGGAGCTATCGTCGATACCTACCTCAATGGTGTCGGCCAGAACTGGACGAAAGTTCCTCTAGATGTCATTTTCGGTGGTGGCGCCGAGCAGTTCTACCCGTCTGAACTTGGAGGAGTCACGTATCAGGACAAGAACTACTATGATGAGTTTGCCGCGCAGGACTATCAGATCATCCAGAACCGCACTGCTCTGCTCTCTGCCAGCAATGAGGAAAAGGCTCTCGGTATCTTCACCACCTCCAATATGGCCAAGTGGCTCGACCGCAATGTCTACCGTGACAACCTCAACCAATCGCTTTCCCCTACTGGAGATGAGACACCCGCTCTTGATCAGCCGGGTCTCAAAGAGATGACCCTCAAGGCCATTGACATCCTCGAAACCCGCTCAGGTGACAAAGGATGGTTCCTTATGTCAGAAGCCGCCAGCATTGACAAGATGATGCATGTTCTCGACTATGATCGCGCACTCGGTGAACTTCTCGAACTCGACGACACGGTGAAGGCCACTATTGACCACCTCAACTCCACCAACTGCCTCAAGGAGACTCTGATCCTTGTCACTGCCGACCACGGCCATGGCTTCGATGTCATGGGCTCCGTTGACACCCACTATCTAGCTGCTCAAAACGTCGACCGCAAGAAACGCAAGTAATACCCATGTACGAACTGTTGCGAGACATTAACTGACTTCGTACAGGCAATGCTGTGGGGACGTACGAGCAATCTGGCGAATCCCAATACATCAACACCGGCAATCTGACGTACACAGATTCTAACTTCCCGTCGACTTGGGAGCCCAGATTCAGCTTGTTTCAGGGGTTAATGGCAGATCCTGATCGTCGGGAGAATTGGTCCGTCCGCAAGAGCGGTCCCCGCGAGCCCGCCGTCGAAATCGAAGAGGATAGCGACGACAACTACGCTAACCCTGAGGATGGCGAGGACGGTATCTTGCTCAATGGTACGCTGCCGGTCGAGAACGACCAAGGTGTGCATTCGTTGACGGATGTGCCTGTCTATGCCATGGGCCCATGCCAGGAGCTCTTCCAGGGGACATACAACAGCATTGATATCTTCTACAACATGGCGACTTGCTTTGGCCTAGGAAGAGGCAAGCCTAGTACTGAAGAGTAGAGCGTCTTTTTAGATGGGGTGTCGAAGAGAGAAGAGCTGTGCAGGGTTCATAACCACGTGGACGATGATGATGTTGTGGTAGTACTAAAATTACGTCTGCTCTAGGGTAGTTGTAATGTATTCTTGGTGATGATATTACTTCGTGCAACATTTGAGTTGTCCTTGGTTCGAGCTTAAAGTGTGTTCACACATCTTCATCGCAGGAAAAAGCTGCCATGGAAAGTGATGTGAAAAAGTCTTTAGTTGCTTTTCGCGATTGCCATAGTTATCAGAATTTGATCATTCATTAGTTTTTACGTGTTGGGGTGGAACATGAACAGACGGGTGCTGCATGAAAGCGTCACAGTGTTGTTATGTAACCAATATCCTGAGAAGGTCTTTGGTTTTTGTTGTCACTAGGAAAGCCACTGTGGAGCCAAATGCTATCACAGTTCATGGCAACAGCACCCTAACAACACAGTTCCTGCGAATGTCACGGCCAACCAAGCAGATTGCCTCGCGCCTACTAAGGTTTCCACGGGTATCGGTAGCGTCCATCAGTTCCGTAACGAACGTAAGGCTCGACTTCACTTGGACGAAATCATTAGCACCACTTGATAAGAATCCATCCTCACACCGAGAGCAGTGTATTCTCACAACTCCCGCCTATTCTTGGCCAGTTCAACTTGTTGGCGTAGGTTCGGCGCCGTGGTGCTAGCCTCGCCGCTTTGAACGCCCTGCTCCATATCGGCAGCCCACAACGCAGCGCCAACGGTGTTTGTGAAGGAAAAGAAGATTCCGGCAATCGGGACGAGTTCGAGGAGGACAGCTGGGATGCCGAAACTATGCAAGGTTAGTGGTCTGAATATGACTACACGTAGACGGACCGACCTAGCATATGCGGCCTTGCGCTCGTCAATGAAGCGCTCCTTCTCCTGCTTCTTCATCTGCTTGAGTTGGAAGTAGCGGGCATGTGCGGTGGGACCAAACTTGCGTCCTTGGAGGATGACGAATAGTACGGTGCCCACGACTGGGATGAAGTTGAGCGGAAGGTACATGAAGTATCGGATGATGGCGCTGGGGGCGAATTTTGCGAAAGGCTTCGAGACGAGCTTGCCCAGTTTCGCAACAGGGTCAGTTCCCGACTTTACCTGGCGCTCTTTGGAAACTAATGTGGTCTGGTTGCGGCTGACCAAGGTTGAATCAAAGGTATCAATAAGCGCTTCGTCAATGAGGAAGTTCTTGCTGAGAACCGAGAAGATAGTGGACGACTCGCTGAGTACGAGCAGAACCGTGGTGAAGACTGCGAGTGGTCCGTTGAAAAGGGTGAGAAGTGCGACTTGGGGAATGTATGTGACGGCAAACATGAGCACGGTGACACCAAGACCGAGCGAGACAGTAGGGACCAGTTTCGCAGCGAGAGGCTTCCATAGAGCACGGTGTGTGAAGAAGTACGCAATGCCCTTGGGTCATGTCAGTGTTGTGCTTTGAATGCAATCCCCTAGTGTGGTCGAGAGGGCCGAAAAGCACTCCCAGACCGGCCTCTCCAGGCAAACGTCGATGCAATGTAGGTAGCAAGGATTCAGACGCGTACCTTGAAAGGGTAGAGATATGCGGCCGAGCGGACAGCTTCTGAGGCAAGCTGTCTAGCTTGGTTGAAGTCTTCCTTGGCGACTTCCTTGACCTTGTCGGGTACTCTCACTCTGGACTCTGACATGGTTGCAACGGATAGATCGGAAAGGTTAAGAAGATTAGGAAGTAGGGAAAGGCGTCTGAGTCGTGATGGAAGACAAGTGGTGTTCCCTTGCCCAGGTGTTGGTGGGGTGAAGCTATGGAATGTGGAAAACTACGTCATAATCGCGCACTTGGCCCAAGCTCCAATCCTAACAACGCGGACTCTGTCCCTGCGCCAACTACGTCGTTTGAGCAGATAACTTGTTACCGCAGGAGAGAAGAAACCCGAGAGATGGTACATGTTGATTGTATAAAATGCCAATAAGGCAAGCTGGGACGGTAGCGGATCAGTGCAAGGCACGTCATACAGTGCTGGTTTTGCGCATTTGCTTTGAGGTGCAGGGAATCCTGCGTAATTGCAATGTCAGGGCAATTTGCTGTCCCGCTGATGCTGCAATAGTTCAGAATAGTCCACCTATGGGCGATGGCTCAGGAATGCATTTCCAAGGCACAAGTTCAGGAGTGAGTCCATGCCGGATTCGCACGCTTCTAGGCCCTTGACAAAGTCCCCACCGTGGCCATTGTGCCAGGTAAATGTGGCGGTGTTATCAAGATTTTACAGAAGATCTGCTACAAACACGCGTCAAGGACCAAAAATCCGATGCAAGACAGGGTAAATCAGGAATTGAAGACGTGGCTAAGCTTTCCTCTTCCCCACTTTCCATGCACCGGATCGCAAAATGACGCAGCGCCAGCCGCGTGCTAGCCCCCACCACAACCGAACCGGACATTGGCTAGCTGCATCCGTCGCGAAGCCCCTCATCGAGGGTCCAGCGCTGGAGTGGCTGATGTAATTAGCCAAATCTTGTGGCAGCGGCAGACAGGAGAGAACGCCACGGCAGGTATAAGCTGAGGGATTAGGGAAAGAATACCGACCCATGGCCGGTTGGGGCTTGCAATGGCCACGTTTGAAAACAACAGGCACATCGTGCATGACGTCCGACACGAGTTGAGCCAGGTATTCACCAGTGGCTGTGCTAGGGGATAGAGCCAAACGCCTCGTATACTCGAAAAAGCTGCGCGGATGTGCAGCCTACGTTGGGATAAAATCAGCAATTTAGAAAGTGTAGCGTCAATGTAGGCTTCAGCGTGGTCAGCACTTCCTTCGATCAAGGTGCCAAGACCAAAGTAGGAAACAGGGATGTGAGCAGTGACTGCCCAGGTGCCGTTTGTACGACGTGTGCTGATGCAAAGGCATGACGTAGGACCATGGGTCTCTCTGACTTTGGCCCTCGCCTGTAGTGTATATATTGGACCACCAGCGCTTACTTTTGGTGACCATCTACGCAACGACGACCACCACACCCACGCAACACTCTAATCAACTTCATTCAAGCCCAATCAGCTATCTATACCACCTCTTATTCAAACTTCACACCGCGATCATGTCAGGAGTGATGGACAAAGTTAAGGCCAAGGTCGACCAGGTGATGCACAAGGACAAGACCCATGGTAAGCACTTCCTGCAGACTGCCGAGGGCCTGAAGACCACCGTCAGCTACTCACACTTCTCTAGATGATCCCACCGGTCCTCACAGCTCTCATACTGCCAACACTGCCGATCCTACTGTACCTAATACTTCCAATGCTACCACTGGCACTGGGGGCTTCTCCGGTACCCACCATGGCTCTGGTGTAAGCACTGGCCTCGGTACTTCTGGTAGCCATGGCGAGCGCAACCCCGAGTACACATCTCCTACCCATGGTTCTACGGGTCTTGGGTCATCAGCCACTCATGGGAGCACTAGTCTCGGGTCCTCAACTACCCATGGCTCTACCTCTCACAATGACCCTACCGGTCCTCACGGCTCCCACACGATGAACAAGGCTGATCCCCGGGTCGACTCCGACCGTCTTGGAAACGCCGGTAACACTGCTGGCGCAGGCGGTTATGGTGCTGGACAGTATACTGAGTCCCACGGCACCCATGGTACTACTGGCAGCGGCCTCACCGGCACAGGGCTCGGCTCTTCGACTACTGGAGCTTACAGCTCAGGTAACAGCAGTGGACTGACTGGTGGTCACGGCACTGCCGATTTCAACGACCCAACTGGTCCCCACAGCTCACGCATGGCCAACCAGGCTGACCCCCGCGTCGGTGGTGTTGGTAGCACTGGAGCTGGCGCATACAACACTACTGGAACCGGTCTCACCGGCCATAGCACTACCGGTGGTCTTGGACACTCCCACAACGACCCTACCGGCCCCCACGGCTCCCACATGGCCAACTCTGCCGACCCGCGTGTTGGGGGTGTAGGTAGCACTGGCGGTCTTGGCCACTCTCACAATGACCCCACTGGTCCTCACAGCTCTCACATGGCCAACTCGGCCGACCCGCGTGTCGGAGGTGTAGGCAGTACAGGCACAGGAGCCTACGGCAGCAACGCTGGCGGCATCGGCTCAGGCAACATGGGCCAAGGAGGATACACCACAGGTGAGCACGTCAAGACCGTCCCAGGGGAGGTCGAGGGAACAGGCCGTGACAACCTCTCTCACCGCAATAACGAGAGTGGCGATCTTCCCAAGGCCCTCACCGAGCCTGTTTCCCACGCTGAGCCTCACTCTTCTCTGCAACATGACCAACACGTTTCAGGTGGCGCTCACGGCACTCATGGTACCACTGATGTTCACGGCAAGCCATCCATGATGGACAAGCTGAGTAAGTCTTCCCCATGCGGTTGAAAGTTGGATTGACGCTGACAAGACACTCTAGACCCCAAGAAGGACGCTGACCACGACGGCAAGACTGGCATCATGGACTAGATTTGTCGTCGTCTTTTTGCCATCTCACTCGTAGTGTGTTGCGAGAGCAAGTCACATGGTGGTTTTGATGGTGTGATTTGCATGAATACCCCCAAGTAGCGTAGTAGCTCAATGAATAGTAATCTCCCTGTCAATTTGGTTCTGTCGCAGTGCTCGCTCTTGATGAGCAATGTTATACTTGTCTGTTATATGCATCCATGATGCTGTTAACATAGATCTGTGATTTCGCATGTACTCGCACATGGGGTATATCCTCGTCAGTGCACTCAGATCAAGTGTATATACTCCGTGCAATGGTGTCGAAATTATAAGAAGTTTGATTAGGGGGTATCATTACTTTTTGCACAAACTTGCCAATGCATACGGCGACCACTCGCTCGCCGTATGACGGGAGTGAATTCAAATATTCAGAGGTTTCGAGATGTGTCGCACAGCCCAATGGACTCTGTGAAAACCCATGGCCATGAAATCACTTGGCTTTTCCCTTGCCCCCCTTCCTGTTTCCTTTACCACCAATCCCTTTCTTCTTGTTTTGGTTCAACGAGCCATCAAGAAGCGCGCTAAAAGTCTCACTCCGCGTCTTGGGCGCGCGATCTGGGGTCGGCACTACAGGCTCGTCTTCCTGTGAGTTTTGCGTCGAAAGCCTCTTGTTCCTCGTCCTCGTTACGCGCTCCTCTGCTCTTGAGGGTGTTGCAAGGCTGACTGTGTCCAAGTCCTGCCTGGTCTTTGTTGTCTTGTTGTCTCTCTTTGCGGGGCGACGGCGCTTTTTGGGCTGCGGTGTGGCGGTATCTGGCGCGGGTTCTTGTTGCGATTCGGCAGCTGCGTCGACGCGAGCTTTCTTGGGAGCCGGCTCTGCTTGGTCGGAGCCTTGCAGGACGTGGCTGTCCGAATAGTCGTCCTGAGCATTGAGCTCATCGACAGCCCTCTTGCTGGACGTGGCGTCAGTAGACTCGAGGGCGTTGCCGTCGGAGTCGAATTTCTTGTTGATGTTTTGAGCCTTGAGGTGGGCGCGGGCCTTCTCCTTGGCCATGCGCTCCTGCCGCTCCAAGTCGTACCTGTCGTTGCCAGCCAGGCCGTGCTTGATGAAGCGTTGGGCGGCGCCAAGGTCTAGTCGCGCTCTGCCCTCGGCGCTGCCCATGACGCCGCGGTCCTTGATGTGCTTGATCTTGCTGTTGTACTGCTTGAGACGGGCAATTTCCTTGAAGACATGGTGTTGCGTGGCATTGACGCCCGACGCCTTGAGCACGGAGAAGAGAATAGCTTCGATGGCGTATGCGGACATGCAGTAGAACTCTGCCTTGTCGAGGAGCGGGAGAGAGGACGCGGTCGTGTGAAGAGGCGCGGCCAGCAGAGGGTCGAGCGCGGCGGTGAGCTCATCGATGTTGACTTCGAGGTCCTCGACGAGGTCGGGGAGGTCGGTCTGCGGGTCCATGGTGGTGATGGAGGTCAAGCGGTCGCATGCGCACGCCAAAGAAAAGTAGCGGGCCGAGCGCTCCGACGTGCAAGCGTCGGATCGCTCACAGCAGACAGCCTCACTCACTAACTCGCCTCGGCCCCGAAGCCCATGGGAATCCCAAGTCGTTCAAGCTGTCGTTCTCCTCCGTTTCACCCTTTCTCCCCAGGCTCCGGCCTCGGATACCACACGCAGCGTCACGATGCGCCGCGGCTTCGGCTCAGACGAGAGCCTTCCTCCACACGGCCGGCTTCTATCGCAGACAGCCTGTACTCGACCGACGCATTCACATCATCGGTGTCGGCAACGTGGGCAAATTCATCGCCCACGCCCTGCGCGGCATACCCAACCCTCCTCCAGTAACGCTGGTCTTCGGGGGCTGGCAAAAGTTGAACGAATGGAACGACTCGCAACGCCGCCTGGCCCTCGTCACCGACGGCCGTGTCGACACCAGAGACGGCTACGATGCCGAGCTAGCCATCCCCCGTCTTCGCTACCATGGCCACGAGGTCGGCCTGAATCCCTCCTCGCTAGACACGACCCAAGGCCCTCAGATGCTGCCTGGCGAGTCTGCTGAGCCCATCAGCTCGCTCATCGTCTGCTCCAAAGCCCCCCATGTCCTGCAGGCCATCTCCGCCGTAAAGCACCGGCTGCACAACCACTCGGTCGTCTGCTTCCTGCACAACGGCATGGGCGTCATCGACCAAGTCAACGCGGCCGTCTTCCCGGACCCCGACCACCGGCCACACTATATGCTCGGCATCAACTCTCATGGCATGCACGCCTCGCCACACAGTCGCTTCACTACTGTCCACGCTGGTTTCGGCACCCTCTCGCTGGGCATCCTACCCCACCAACGAGACGGCCATGCCAACGAGCCCTACACCCCCGACTTAAGATTCTCCGCATCAAGACATGGCAAGCCCGTCTACCCGCACCCTCCCGACAAACTCAATCCAGAGTACCCACCCCCAAGGAGCGCCAAATTCCCCTTCACGCCTAACCAACGCTATCTACTCCGCACCCTCCTCCGCACTCCAGTACTCAGCGCAGCCTCCTTCTCGCCCCCCGATCTCTTGCAAATCCAACTCGACAAGTTGGCCGTCAATTGCATCATAAACCCCCTAACCGCCCTCCTCGACGCGCGCAACGGCGCCATTCTGAACAACTACGCCTTGACCCGCACAATGCGCCTCCTCCTATCCGAGATAAGCCTCGTCATTCGCTCCCTCCCCGAACTCCAATACATTCCCAACGTGTCCCAGCGCTTCGACCCAGGCCGCCTTGAGACCGTGGTTGTGGCCGTTGCACACCGCACCAGCGACAACGTGAGCAGTATGCTAGCCGATACGCGTCAGGGTGCGCACACCGAGATTGACTATCTCAACGGCTGGATTGTGAGGCGAGGCGAGGAATTGGGTATTCGATGTGCCATGAACTATATGGTTATGCAGTTGATCAAGGGCAAGAGCATGGTGGTGCAGCATGACATGGAAGAAGAGCTTCCCCTGGTAGGGAGTAAGAAAGGGGGGAGGGCGGAGGCGGACTTGGTGGTTAAGAGGGATGGCGCGGAAGCCCATAAGAAAGGCACACCGTGAGACGGCATTCGTCTTTGACGCTACGGCCAAACCTTTTGCACAGTTCGACTACACAGCGCTCCACGGGCTATCAGAATCAATACTAGATACAATCCGCAGAGCAGAATGCGCCATCAGTCGCCATGTCCATGTCCCTAGAGCGTAGATCTGCTTATATCCCGGCTTCTGATGATGCACATGTCCACCCAAGAGCCGGTAGGCATAACAGTAGAGCAACCGAAAGAATAGTAGCGTCCTTGTAATTCTCTCGATACCAAAGAAGTAAACGACAGATTGCGATTAGTAGAACTGCAGGCGATGGACATGGTCAATGTGTATATTTCTTCTCCTACTCTTCATCGTTTCTCTTTCTTGTCCTATCTTCCAAGAGCTAGTATTAGATAAAGCTATAGTACATTATGTGTAAAGACACACATCCAACATGTTTAGTCAACCAGACCAATAATACTCCTGCCCACCGCAAACCCTTCCCCCAAAGCTTCTTAACCAGAACAAAAGACTACCAGAACAACTCCCGGTATCCATCAAACTCAAGTTCCCACCATCCCGAGACGAGAACTAGCAGCGAAGATACCTCTCTTGCTATGTGTATATCCGACAGTAACGGGTCCGTAAACCTACCCCTCTAACAAGCCACTGAAGATGCTCAACAAGTAAAGAAAAACAACCAAAGCATTCGCCTCTTACTCGCCGTATACAAACGTCAACTAGGATAGTGTAACATGATTGAATAAAAGAGTAATGGTCGTGTAAAACTCCAAGCACAAGACCGGCAAATAGCGAGTTACCCAACAAGAATCAGCCAGTTACTGCATCATGTATGGC